GAGATGTGAAGTCAGATCCCTTGCTGATCGTAATGAGTGTATTTGCCTGGTAACCTGGCAGACATGCACTTGGGATCCTTAGCAGCTATAGGGAACTGATAGAATGTATGGATTGTGGGGACCATGGTCGTTTTCACATACTTTCCATTATATGGAAATAGTTCATTTTATAACTTATGACTTATGAACGGTGTGGTACCCAGTGGTGGTATTGATTTCCTTACATTTTTATCATGGGCTTCTAAATTGGGGAGTGAATTTATGAGCATAGCAGGAACATAAAATAGGGAGATTGGATATTTTTAAATAATCATCTATTGTTGACTTAATATTTTAGGGGAATAAAAAACAAGTACAACTGCATTTTTTAAAATGCCTACTTCATAGTTATTATACACTTGAGAATTATATTTCTTATTGAAAACTGTTTCCTAAGTTAACTGAAAGGCCACATGAAAAGATATAAGACAAATCTTGAATTTTTTTTCTTGTCTATGTAGCTGTGATGCCATAAGTATGGATTAGAGATCACTGACTTTCCTAATTTTTTTGCATTCTGTATCGACTCATGGTTCTAATTTTTTCCTTTAAGACAACACCTAAGCATATGTGCTTATTGAACAATAGTTCTGGAATGTAGCTACAGAATAAAACCAGCTCTAAGGCATTAGACAGGATTCTATAAACAAATAATAAGATAAAACCATAATAATGTATAAAAACAAAACAGTACTGGGAAGTATTACTCAATACCCAGGCAACAGTTATTTTTAAAAGGCAGTGCTAGTCTATTGTTTGTCTACATACAATGTTAAAAAATATAAATAACATCTGTAGAAAGAAACAACTCTCCATGCTGTACTAAGCTAAATATATATATATAAAAAAATAGACATCTTACAAAATGGGTTTCTGAGAGTCGTAGGGAAGCTCCACAAACGAGCTACGCATGGTCTAGTTACAGCGATTGCAGTGTAAGACTTACACAGCTACCCAACCAAACGCTTATTTACTTGGCACCCATTTCCTAGTGGAACAGGCTCACCAACTTATAAATAGGCAACATGCCATCTTAACAGATGGTGGTGGGTATTTGCAGCCAAAATACCATGAATGAACATCAGATGTGTTTGTGGAGGGCAGAAGATCCAATCAAAAACGCCCAAACAGCTGTCTTTCCCAAAGTTATGAACCCAGGGTTGACGGCACTTGCCACTCTTACTCCATCTCTTGTGACATTAAGTTCTCTCAAACCCCCTCAAAGGAAGAAGTTGTCTTCTTTCCTTCATAGGAAATAAACCATAAGAAACATTCTTTATACACTGGACTATGTGTGTCTATGTTTGTGTTCATAGTGTTTTTCTTATAAATATGTTCATTTCAGTTACCATCTTGAATGTATGTCCAAAGGAAATAGCACATATACACTCAAATCTGGTATTGGTGATATGCATTATAATCATTGTCATAATTATTATTTACAGCCACAAATCTGTCTCTGGCAATTAAGAAAACAACTCTGTTGTTAGACGGCCTGCTGGATAGTAAATGTCTCTAGCTCTTTGCATTGGCAGAAAGGAAAACTGATCTGCTTTTGTCTAGATCTGTTTCCCAGCAGCTGTTAGGAAATGCAATGCAGCCTGAGAATGGTAATTATGATCTTACTCCTTAGAAATTGTAAAAACCTAATCAACATACATGACACATCAATAAAAAAGAAGATTCCTTAGGAAAGTAGAAAGAGAACTGAAAATAAGCAATAAAAGGATGAACTATAAAGTCAATAATACATGAAAATATATTAAAGTTAATTTCAATTAAAAGTGTAAAATTGAAGCGCTTCAATTAATTATTTTTTATTGATCTTATTAGTATAGAATAGGTAAGCCTTCGAGACAGACAGCATGGAGGAACCTGGAGAGCATTATGCTAAGCCAAATAAGCCAGTCTGAAAAATACAAGTATTGCATGATCTCACTTATATGTGGAATCTAATGAACAAAAAAAAATGAGGAACAAAATAGATCCACAGACATTGAAGCATGCAACAGACTGATGTATTTCAGAAAGAAGCGGGGGGGGGAGGCGGGAAGAGATTAACCAAAGAGCTTATATGCATAGCCAGTGGTCACACAGTAGTGAGGGGAAGGCCTGGGGAGAGGCCTGGAGCGGGGTGGAGGGGTCAATGGGAACATCTGTAATGCTTTCAACAATAAAGATTAAAAAAAAGAATATTGAAAAGGACCAGTTTTCATCATTCTTCATGAGACCATAAGCGCTACAGCCTTTTGGGATGGAGAGAGAGAGGACCAGCAAGCCAGACAGACAGAGAGAGAGAGAGAGAGAGGTATGAAAATTGATGTTCTCCAGTTATCTGAAGAACAATGGCAAAGATAAAAGGGATCTTCTTAAGGTGTTTATATTTGTTTTTTCATTTGTTTACTTTTGTAAAAATGTACACATTGATGTCATTTAAAAATTGTGTTTTCAATAGAAATAAATTAAACAAAAATTCTATACACCACACCAAATTATGAAAATATATTAAGGTTCTAAACACATTGTAAATGTTAGCTAAGGTTTAATTCAGTGCCTTAAACTTCAGCTTGTAAAATAATAATTATGGAATCTAATAAAATACAGATTCCCTAGCTCCACTTTCAGAGCTTCTAATCAGTACACCCAGGGACTGAACTATGAATATACATTATTAACAAAGACTCCAGATGACTCTGATACCAGTGTTCTCTGTGGAATACACTTTAAGAAGCACTGTATTGATGAACTAAAAACAAAAACCTGGAGTCTACACTAGAGTTTTGTTTTGATTTTATTTCAATGTGTACTCATTACTTTAAAAGGAAACACTCTCCACAGTGACTGTTTTCCCTTGATCAGATTTCTCTCAGTTATGATGTAGAAAATCTAGGAACATTTTCAGTGTATTCATAGCATCCATGTTATACTTACCTTAAAGATTAATCACAGTTTCATAACTGCTTTTCTCCAGGTTAGCCTCTGTCTCATAAAGTGTGAGCTTTGTGAAACCATGTATGACACCTCGCTTTTTCACTGACGAGTCCCTAATGTCTTGTAGAGGTTTGGCACATAATAAATGCTACATAGTATTTGTTGGATATGGGTGGATAGTTGCAACTGTGAAAATGAGTGAATGCACAGCTATTAATCTCATATTGTTTTATTTTTATATACACAATCTTTTTTCTTAACTAGGCTCAGAATTTTAAAATCATTTTTTCTTTATAAACTACAATGAAAGCAAATGCAAGTAAAGCTTGTTTTAGAGATTAGAGAGAATAACAAAATACCGAATGTTCTTTTGCAGCTTTTAGTTTATTTACTGTACTGAAAAGATAATCTGCCAGTGGAAGGATGCAGAGTGGTTTAAAAGGTAGAATTTAAATTAGAGTTCCAGGATTTGGATTCTAGCCTCAAAAATTTTTAGTTTGGTGAAACTGGGCAAGTTTCTTAAACCTCCTATATCTCTATTTTTTTTAATTGGTAAAATGGAAGTGGAAATATGGCTATATCTGTAGACTCCTGCAAGGGTGAAATGTATTATTTGTAATCATACCTGACTTACATTAAGCACTAAATAAATGATTGTCAAATAAATTCAGGGTGATATTAATATAGGCTCTTCTATATTCATTATTATAATCTGGGTCTAGAAAGTACAATGATTTCATTAGTTGGGAGTCCGTTGAGTAATTAATAAACCATTGTACTAGATATAGGTTACCATGTGATTAATGCAATCCATACTTTTAGCCAATTAGGCTATTAGTTCAGTGGTTGACTTTTTTGAGATTTATTGATGCCCTTCTTGCTCTTCCAATGGGTGGTTTTGAGCACTGTGCCCTAGGCATATCCTTGTCATCATGGGTTTTTAATGTATTGTGTTGGGAGAGAACTATTTTAAAAATAAATAAAAAGTATATAATAACAATATTTTATATGTAATATAGATGATACTCACAGATGTTAACAGACAGTATGTTATCTCTATAAATTTATTCCCAAATTCTAATCTTAGGTTTCAGATGTTTGCATGTACATGTGTGTGTGTGTAGCAGTTAATCTATTTACAATCATATTCCTTTTTTCTATTTCTATGGTAAAAATATGCCTAAGGCAGTAATCAAGAAACAACATGTCCCTGTTCATATCAAAATAATTAAAGAAAATTGCTAACTGAAATATTTAAGAATACATATAACACTGATTCTAAACTAGATCAAATACTGGCCCGATCCCAACTATTACACTATTATAAGAGAGGTAGGAAAGATCATGCGTAAACTTGTGGAAGTATATTGTTTCCAATTATGGACAAAAATAAGCTAATTTTTCTTATGATTGCTACGTGAATGGTTGAAGTTCCTCTGCAACCTCACACCTTTAGCATGGAGTCTTCCAGCAACAACTCATTGTACGGCTCCTCCTCTCACTCTCTTAGATGGTAAAGTTCATTGTTTTCACTCCCACTGGAATTGGGTCAGGAATCATTTTTCTTGCCAGAGGAGAAGACGGAAGGAGTGGATGAGATGATGACAGTCTGACACAACCGATTTTCTCATGAAGTTAGAACTTAAATTAGCTTCATCTGTTTGAGTATTTTTAGGTATTACCTGAGTTCTGGACACCCACAATGCCAAGACAAGTTAAAGAAGCAGGACAGAAGAAACAAGATAAAGATCCTAAGGGAATTATTGTTATTTTTTAAACTTCTGATGAAGTCGATTTTGGTGGTCCCAATGAGAAAACCAAGGGAGAGTGGAAACTTTTCTTTCCACTTTCTTTGCCTTTACCTCCTGTAGAGTTTTATGTGCTAATGATTTTTCAAAATTCAAATATTCATAATTTGGGATGCATCTTTTGGCAGTGCTACTCAAATAAAATACAAGAGATATGTATGGTTTACAAATTGGAATTGTAACCTCCTACTTATAATATTGTTTGTATCCACATTTTTTTAGGATGTTGCCTTAGAAATGCTTGAAGGTGTTTCTGTATAAAGACAAGAGACGAATCTAATTGATCTCAATGTGAGTGAGTATTTTAAAAATGTATAATGTGATTCTATTATTAATAGTTATTAATCTCTAGTTTATCACTTAATTACTATATGGTTAATATATGTCCTTGCTTTGTTCTTAATGCAAATTATCTTCTATTCATTCTGGTTCAGTTACTGTGGTGAATTTTCTATGTTTCTGGTTTTAATTTTGTTTAAATATTGGGCACTTTCAGGCTAGACAGGCAATTTCTCAGTTTTAAACCATTAAAATGAATTTGTAGCCTTCTAAGTCTCTCTGGCTTCAGTCTCTTAATGTGCTTTTTGTTTGCTTGTTTTGTTTTTGTTTTTATTTTTTGATTTGAGAGCAAGACAGAAACATCTATGAGAGAGAACCATTGATCAGCTGCCTTCTGCACGATCGAGCCCATAACCCAGGCATGTGTCCTGACCAGGAATCAAACCTGCGATGCTCAATCAACTGAGCCACACCAGCCATGGCTGTCTTGAGTTTCTTAAAGACTAACCCATACATACTTTTTTTTCTTGGCAGAACTCAACAAGTAGTTTTATATAAACCCTAGTTTATTGTATTAATTGCACAAATATGTGCAGTACTAACATTTTCTGAGATATGATTCTTATGTGGAAATTTCTTGGCTGCAAATCATGACATTAGTATCAGGAAAAGTTTTCGAGAACACGGTGTCTTTTAGGTTGAATGTTACCAGAAGACTCTCTGATTTCTTTTTCTCTATATGTGGTCCATCAGGTGCACCTTTCCTCTGTTACAAACAATACTGGCTCACCTGAGTTATTCTTTCCATCACAGTCATGTTGGTTCTATTGGTAGTTGTCATAACTGTCATTCTTCTATGTGTGTTCTTTCTCAGTAAAAAATGTGATTAATAGAAAGAGTATCTGAGATTGCTAGCGCAAGTTAAATTAACAATCTAAGCTCGGCAGGGTGTGTCTCAGAGGTTGAACATCAATCTAGGACCCAGGAGATCGAGGTTCAATTCCCGGTCAGGGCACATGCCGGGGTTGCGGGCTCGATCCCCGGTTGGGGGCATGCAGGAGGCAGACGATCAATGACTCTCTCATCATTGATGTTTTTCTCTCTCTCTTTCCCTCTCCCTTCCACTCCCTGAAATGAATAAAAATATATTTATATATAAAAGAAAATCTAAGACCAAAGAATCAAGCAAGAATTGGCATAAAAAGGCTTGTGAATTAAAATAAAAGCTTCATTAATAATCAATGATCTAGTATTTACTTGGCAACTTCAAATGCATTTTCTCCTCAAACATCAGAAAAAAAATTGTCACCATATGACATGTAATTTTTATATCTAAACTGTTTTATATATAATATTTCTACTTTATTGAATGTTTACAATAGCCTGGTTCTTCTGTGCGGTTATATATACATATATGTGTGTTAGCTTATGTTCCCTTCAGTCCATCCTACAAATTTGATACTATTATTATGTCTATTCTGTGGGTAAGGATTCTGAGCATCAGCCTGATATCTCACAGCCAGCACAAGGTAAAGATATGTTTCAAATCCATGTGTCAATATCCACATGCCATACTACAAACCAATATTCAGCACAGAAAGTCCTTATATATTGAAGGACTTCAGTCTATAAAGCAATTTAGTGATTCTTCATATACAACATGACTAATAAAAGTTGATGGCTTTTATTGACAGCTATTCCTAAGAAAGATGAGAGCAGAACTCCCTGGTTAATCGCAAAACAGTTTATGAAACCATAGCAACAGAATAATAGATTAGATGAGCACTTTATAATTGGGTAGGAGGAAGGGGAGATTTGCACATTTAAAATGTAATTTAGGGAAATAGAACTTATGGTATTACATGAAGAGTAATATTTAAATGTTAAATATTTTAAGGCCTCAAATTTATATTTAATTCAGAAAGAGAAATGTCTGTCAAGATTAATTATACTAGCAAAATGGTAACTCCTTATTTCATTATTAAATAGCAATAATAATAATATACTTAACTTTTATTCTCTCCACAAATATTGAATTCCTACTCTATGTCAATCACTATTCAAAACTGTATTGTTTCAACAGCAAATGGGACAGAAAATACACCTCCAGGTATGGATTTTTTATTTTTATCTGGGGAACAGGCAGAGAAGTTAAAGTCAAAAAAAAAAAAAAAAAAAAAAAGAGGGAGCTGATTTTCAATGCAGAGGCTATAGTAATAGCTAACTTTTATTGGTTTTTTATTATGTGAAAGGCTTTTTAAAATATCATTTACATAGATAACTCCATTCTTTTTCAGAACTACACTGTCAGGTAGGAAATTTTATCATTCATATTTTTCAGGTTAGGAAACTCAAGCATGTATACATTAAATAGCTGAGGTGAGGTTCAAGGCAGGAAATGTATTTTTAATTAACAGACTTAATTTTTTTAGTTTTAGATTCCTCTGTCCATTCAGGAGGGCTCAATGCCTATGGCTAATCACCTCCAAATACCATCACACTGGGGATTAGGATTTAACATATGAATTTTGGGAGGAATGTTCAGTCTATAACAGATAGGATGAAGCCCTGACAGACGGGCTTATTTCACTATACAATATACATTTAAGTTTACTCCCTGTCTTTTCACAACTAGACAGCTCATTGATTTTTAATGCTGAATTATAGTCAATTGTCTGGATGTTCCACAGTTCATTTATCTGTTCACCTTCTGAAGGACGTCTTGGTTGCTTCTAGTTTTGTCAGTTATGAATAGGGTGCTATAAGTACTAAGGTACAGGTTTTTCTCAGCTTGTTTGGTTAACTACCGAGTAGCACAATTGCTGGATTGTATTAGGCTAATTTAGTTATACAAGCAACTGCCAAATTATCTTCCAAAGTAGTTTTTCCATTTTGTGTTCCTACTAGCAATAAATGAGAGTTCCTGTTTCTCTACATCCTTGCCAGCCTTTGGTGTTCTCATTTTTTAAAAAAAATAGGCTCTCTAAGAGATATGTAGTGCTGTTTCATAATCTCAATTTGCAATTCTTTAATAATATATTAAAATGAACATTTTGTCACTTCCTTATGTGCCATTTGTGTTTCCTGTTTGGTGAGGAATCTGTTCAGATAATTTGACCACTTCTTAATCAGATTATTTGTGTTTCAGTTTGTTTCTTGTGGTCAAAATATTAACCATTCTGTTATATTGACTTGTAAAGTGCTATGTAGACAGTGGAACAGGGTAAGAAAATAGAAGCAATTTGGAGGCTGAAGAGCCTGCTTTATACTTTACATAGGAATGTCAGGAAAGGCCGTTTCGTGGAAGCAGTATTTCACCTGAGTTCTGAATGATGACAAAGCTCAGACAGGAAAATACTGGGGAGCAGAGGACGGTTTCATTAAACTCTTGAGTTACGGTGTCCTAAATTATAAAATAAAGATCTCTTTTTAAAGATAGACTGTCTTTTTGCTCGTATCAATTAGATGGATAGAATCAAGAATTATCTTTAAATGTGGCCTCTAATATGTGGACTATTCACGTATCTTTCTTCCGTGCCATCATCTGGACTTTGGATACCTGGCATCACTGTAGATACATTGTTAGTGGAATATACAGAATGACTTATATTTTTGTGTCTTCCTACTTTCAAATGAGAATTTCTTCTGATTAAATTTCAGTAGAGAGCTAAATAGTACTTACAAATATGTATGCATAAAGACCTTTTGACAATGTTTAATTTGCACACAAATCACATTGCTTTTAATATCTGATATTTTAGTTTCAAAAACGGACACTGGTCAATTTAAGCAGAAAAAAAAAATACATAAATTGATGGATATTAGATAGATAATATACATCTCAGAAGGGCCAAAAAACCAGACACAGAAGCTGTGTAGTCTGGACCATTCTCTCCCAATGCTCCCTCCTCTCTGGTTCTGTGAAGGCAGTACTGCCACGACGCTGGCCACACTGGGCACTGGACACCGCTGTAACTTCTTGTACCTGTTGCCCTGGAAAACCGACTCTAATCGCTGCACTGGCTTCAAGTTTTGGGCTTTGTTTTGTTTTCCCTGCATATATTTTGCTTTGCATCCCAAGCTTCAAACCTGGGAGGCAGACATTTCTGATTGGTGGGGCCCAGGTCACGTGTCCATACTCTGGCTGCAAGGCAAGTTCAGCAAATGAATCAATTACTTGGCACTTTATGCTTCATTAATGTCACATAAATGCAGATAAGACAGAATATTCCTCAAACTTCAAAAGAAGTTCAGGTGTTGAGGGTCCCAAAAGAATATCAACTTTATAGGGTATGCTATATTTCAGAATATACTTTTTCCTAAAAAAAATATACTCTTTCTCTAATGTTGTTGTGTTATCTTAGAATTTTTAGTGTGACAGATACAAAAAAACTGTCACAGTATTTTCCTAATATGTGTAATGGTATGTAGCATTCTGGCTCTCCCATCAAGGGTTGATTTTTTTGTTAGCGTGGAGTCTGGGTTTGATCGTGTTACTTGCTTTGGATAATAAGACTTAGAAATATTGTAAGCAGAGGTTTGAAAGTGCCTGTGTATAGGGCCTTGCTCTGTTGATAATCTTGTGCAACCTATAGTCAACATAATGGGAACTAAACTGGAGAGCCAGCTGTGTGATGACACACATCCCAGTCATCCCATTGCCTACCAGAAGACGGCAATGTATTAGGGAGAATAGGTGAAGAAGCTACATGATTGGTAGTAGCTGAAGACTAATCCAAATTACTGAATCATACAAATGAAGCATAACTTGGGGACTCGTTGTTTTAATCTAAATTTTAAGGTGCTTTGTTCTGAGCAAATGACATATGAAACAATTAGTGTTTACTCCTTTGCATATATCATAGAGCTGGGTTTTTTATTCTTTAATTTGATACCTGTTTCATTGAAAGTGAATAGCTAAAAATTAACTAATTATTGTTTTTAAGTGTACAGGACACATATTGGGCATGGTATCTAAAGTAGCTTCATGGAAGAAAATCTAGTTATTTTT